TAACGAGTTAAATTATTGGAAGGTTCTTTAAGTCTTAGAATTTTTTGGAAACGATGGAATGAAGTATCTCAAATCTTGTGTCGTCTTTCTTGGAAAGTCAGATGTGTCATTTTTTTGGGGAAAATTCCGAGAACTCCTTGGAATAGCGTCTGTTTTTCGGAGTTCTCCCTAGACTTCACTTTGTCCCATGAACTTAACTACTTTGACCCAATAAGCCCACCCTGAAGTGGTGTCCCTTGCTTGGAGTTCTCCTCGGAATTGACTTTATTCCCAAATACCCCCCGTGAACTTAGCTATTTAGACCCAATAATCTCCCTAAACTTGATCGCTTTGATCTAATAAGGGCGCGAATGGTAACCATTCTGCTCCAGAAATCAAATTCTTGCCAGAAATTGATTTCTGGAGGAGAAGTCTGTTTGATAAAACATGACTAATTCTGCTCCAAAAATTGATTTCTGGAACAGAAATCTGTTTTGATTTGTTGATTTTTTTTGCACCTAAAAAAATTTAAATTTCACTCAAAGTGGGTGACCACAGGTATTCTAAGCCATTCTGTGAAGTTTTAAAATTTTTTATTTTTTGATTTTTTTGGGCACCTCAAAAAATTTAAATTTCACTCAAAGTGGGTGGCCAAAGGTATTCTAAGTCATTTTGTGAAGTTTTGAAATTTTTGATTTTTTTTGGGCACCTCAAAAAAATTAAATTTCACTCAAAATGGGTGGCCACATGTATTCTTAAGTCATTCTGTGAAGTTTTGAAATTTTTGATTTTTTTTTGGGCACCTCAAAATATTTAAATTTCACTCAAAGTGGGTGGCCACAAGTATTCTAAGTCATTCTGTGAAGTTTTGAAATTTTTGATTTTTTGATTTTTTTGAACACCTAAAAAAATTTAAATTTCACTCAAGGGTAGCTACATATGTTTTAAGCCATTCTGTGAAGTTTTGAAATTTTTGATTTTTTTTTATATTTTTTGAAAAATAATTCACCAAATTTCCTGTTTTCCTGAAATTTGACTTTTTTTTTTATTTTCTAGAAATTTTTATGAATTTTTCTGGAATTTTTCAATTTTTATGCATTTTCTGAAAAAAAAATTAGTGAGATCTCAAAATGTGTTATAAAGGCCACGAAAAAGAGAGAAAAGAGGGAGAATGCATTCTGGAAGAGAGAAGCTACAAAAAGTAGCTTCTCTTTTTCTTGTCCAAAACTCATTCTGAAATCAAGAATGTATTCTGGAATCAAGTATTTTTAACAAACGCATTTTTATTCCAGAATGCAAAAATTGCTCCAGAATGCATTCCGGAAACTTTTTAACAAACGCATTTCTATTTCGGAATGCATTCTGGAGCAGAATTTCCGCTCCAGAATGGATTCCATGTGCGCCCTAACTCCCCGAGGTCATTGCCGGTGAAAATAATGATTGGCCGACGAACATGTGCTTGTCACGTGCCCGTTTCGCACCTTCCGAGGGGCATTTTAATCGAAAAACCACCATAACCCTCAAACATGAAATTCAAATTTTAAAAAAACTCGCAATTCACCTTACCTTGTTTTTCTCGGATGCAAGAAAGCACCTAGTCGGGTTTGCTTCAGTTCACGGCACGGCATTCTCATCACAACTCTCCTCCCGCATCTTCAATGATCCTCCATCCCGAATTTTTTGATCCATGCTTGAGAAACCCTAGTCTTTTCTTTTTTAGCTTTAAAGTCGGTGTAAATTTGGGGCTTTTACACATTTTTTTATGTGTATGTGAATGGCATGTGCCTTCTTCTCTGCATTTTTTTTTTCTATGCACATGACATATTTTGGAATAAAGGGGAACTTTGAGAAATGAGCAACTCTATAGGGGGTTATTAGGCTAAATCGATCAAGCTCGCGCGATAATTTGGAATAAGGTCGAGTTTGAGGAGAACTTTGAGACACGAACATCACTTCACAGAGATTTTTTATAAAATTTTCTAGTTCATTTGTAGCACGAAACATCCAAATATTTTGATTCGACTAATCTTCACGGATATGCACATAATTTCTCGTCCATTGCGTGCAATTAATAAGCACCCGCCAACAGACGTGGCTTCCAACTTTCTTCCGCGCTTAATCACCCAGTCAATCTATCAGGGGTTGTGGTGTCGTTCTCCCCTTAATAACGGACACTAATCAAACAGTCCCCTTCCAAAGTTTTAATTCAAGCAAACTTGTCAACTGCTTTTCTACGCGACGCTTCAAGGTGCTCGCAGTCGTTCGAACGAGTCTTGTCGAGAGCCACTCCTTCATAAACTCAAAACTCAATGCAGCCGAATGCTTGACATTGACGTTGCGTAATGTCTTTTTGTTTGTAGTTCGACACAAGCTTTGGCCCCATGGCAGAAGGCATCCCTTCAATTTCGCCGGCTTCGTGCTTTCTTTTTGGACTCTCCTAACATATCAATTGGAATTAAATCGCTGGTTTATTAGTTGCGGCTCCGTTGCATAAGTTACAATAATTGCTGGTGGCCCAAAAATCCCTTCAGGACTTCGGTCTCTCGATCTAAATTACCTTAAAACCTAAGTTAAGATGATTTATTGAATTAATTCGAAACGAATGTACATGGGTTATTCTCGTCAATTAGCTTCTAAAAGTCAACACCATAATTAACCGCCACTTTCTACTATCCACATGTCAAACAAACAAAAATAAAGAAAAACAACATATGAAAAAGTAATTGCACCATTTTAACGAGGGAACTATTTATCGTCCGGAGATTTTTAATGGGCGTCATTCGGCCCGATTCAACGTAAATTGGCGTGTATAGAGCGCATTGTGTCTAGTTATAATAAAGTAAAGAGAAAATGGGTTATGATTATTCTAGAATATGAAAAATGAAGACGAACCATAACAATTCAAAAACAAACAATTTGGATCTTATTAACTCATACCTACTTTTTTTTTCTTTCTTGTTATACCTTAGAACACTAGGTAAGGTTCTTTAGTGAAATAAACAATCAAGACACTTAAAAAATGAATAAGCTACGCTTAGTTTGACCGGCGCGGAAACATAAATTAAAGAGGCGAGATAATTAAAATGTACAATACCTAATTGAGAGGGGGGAGTAGAATAATATTCAAAAGACATTTCATAGATCATAACATGTACATATCTCATGAAAATCGCATTAAGCACTGAGTGGCTGGAAAATGGCTAGGGGAAGCCTATGACTTCCGCCTGCCTTGTCCGAACGCCATTGACATATCGTATTAGATTAGAAAATTCGTGTTTTCTAAAGCATGCTTGGTAACTCTTAAAAAGGTGTCTAAATACATGGTTAAATAATTGGAAAAACGACATAAATGGTCTCTTAACTTTGTTCCAACATGTAATGGTATCCCTGAACTTTTAATTTATTTAACGTGGTTCCTGAATTTTAGCCTAATGTGCTATATCAACCCTGAACTTTTAAATTATTCAACGTGGCACTTAAACTTTTGGGAACTATATGAAAATGTTAAATATTGTCCCCGAACTTGAATTAATAAAAGAATAATATGGAAAATTTTCATATAGGTCATGGACTAAATTGAACGTGTATCGAAAATCTATAAACTATATTAAATAATTTAAAAGTTAAGGAACTACATTACACATTGAGATAAAGTTCATAGACCGCATTAAATAAATTAAAAGTTTATGGACTCTGTTACACGACATTAAATAAAAGTTCGTAGATCATTTATGTCACAATCCCTTCAATAATTGCCTTGGAAATTAGCCACGAACCGGGCAAAACTCCGGGTCGTTTTCTCAAGAACGGCGAGCATTGCCGCTTGCGCGTATTAGAAAAATCCCAGCCCGCACGGCTCGGAAATCCACGAGGCGCTCAAACGAGTGCCTGCCCCCTTTGTCGTCGTTTCCCCAAATGTCATTTCTCTACGGCTCTTTTGCCCCCTCTGCTGACCAAACTTATTCCTCTTCCTCAATAATTACAACTAAAAAGCAGAAAAGCAAACATGTACTCCAGAAATTCAACATGGGCCTGCCAAAAAAATAAAAATACCAAATAAATGCGACAAAAGCCCATATACCTGCCTCCTATTTAATTCCAGTGAATAAAAAAGCTCGTGTATGTAATAATTCACTTATGCATTATCAATTCCCACTTCACGTGAACGCCATGATTTGTGGCTCTTCCATGTTCAAATCCCCACTACTTTTGAAGGGGGGAAATTTGAGGTAAGTGAATGCAATCTTGGTAATGAAAATGAAGGGAAAATTTGAACCGTGAATTTCTTCGGGCTTTTCCATTAGAACGAAAAAGATATTTCAAAAATATCGAAAATGATTATCGAATTTTGGGAATCTCCCGACCTGACCGTTCGAGAAAGGGTGGTTTTTTTTTAAAGGCTCGCGGCACATTTCAATGTAGGGACGTGCATTAGGTCCGGTTCAACCTGCGACCGAGACTGAACCACCGATTGGCCAGTTGCAAAAAAAAAACAGTTCAACCAGTTTGGTTTTCAGGTTGATCAGGTTCTGAATCGGTTTTGAAACCTCTTTTAGAAAAAAAAGAAAGTACTTTCGCATCCATTGAGAATGAGAACATGATATTTAATATGAAGAAACAAAGTAATCACTTTGTAGCGAAATTACTGAACAAAAAATGGGCATATTTGATGCCCGGTTCCAATCATTTGGAGCCGGGAGTCACAGGGCCGACTCGTCCGAGAACCAATCATCCAATTCGATTTAGAAACTAAATAGAAGCTGAAAAAAAAAATAAAAAACCGATCACTCCCAACAGGAAAAGTCCGATTTTTCTTCCTATGCCATCTATATGGACAACCGAGTCGGATTCCCACATGATTGTTGTGGCCCCTGTCCCCGCGTCTCTCGCTTAAAGGCCCTCCTTTTCTTTCTTTCTTCTTCTCCTTTTGCCTTTCTGTATCGGACAGAAAAGAAACACAGTTTTAAAAAACGAAGCGTAAAGAAAGAGGAGAGAAGAGAGAGAGAGAGAGAGAGAGAGAGAGAGGAAAAGGTATTGGAAAAGGTGTTCAAAAATCGAAAGGACATGGAGAGGATGAGGGACTAGAAGAAGATCCAAAGACCACCACACTTTCCGCCTCACCCCTTTCACTTGCTCCAGAGACACAGGCCTCACAAGTCACAAGGGCAAGGCGTTCTTCGTGTGAGCATGAGCTGAGAGGGTTGTGTGTGTGTCGTGTGTCGTGTGTCCCTGTTTGATCCCCCAAGAACGAAAAGCCAGGACTCGGCACATTTCTCTGTCTTTCATGTGTTCTTGGAAAAGAACAAAAGGGGAAAGAGAAAAACAACTAATGAGGGGAAGAAAACAAAGAATGGAGCTTTCTCTTTACCTCCTCCTCCTCCTCCGCCTTCTTATGATTCCTGTTTGGACTTATGCAATGAGGAGTGACCCACCTCTGTCCTCCATGTCAGCTGCTCCTCATCCCACTCCTCCTTCTCTTCCCTCCTCTCCAGTTTCCACTTCAATGGCTGCTTTCTCTCCAGGTACTCTGTCAAACTCGTGATCCAACGTTTCTCTCTAATCGAGTTTCCAAAAGTTCTTCGAAAGGGATTTGAAAATGCTGCTGCAATCAGTGAGTGGCCAGATTGTTTCTCGTTTTCTTGAGATTTTGGTTTGGTGCTTTGATTTTGAGGCCCATCGCAGAAAGATCTCACATTGGTGGATGAATTGTGTGCTCTAGCCAAGTTTTCAATAAAGTTTGAAGCTTTGGGTTGTGCAGGGCTTTCAGTGGGAGGCAGGAAACACCGGTTGGATTCACATGAGAAGTTGCTCATTGCTCTCATTGTTTCTTGTTCTTTACTGGGTGCAATCATCTTGATCTTCATGGGCCTTTGGGTTTATTACAGTAAGTTCACCCACAAGTCCAGCAAAAAGAGTTCTCAGAGATCAGGTGAACTACTTTTTCATTTTTCCCTGAATCTAAATTCTTTTCTTTTTTTAATTCTCTTTTGGGCTAAATTATAAATACTTGGTGGGTTTCAGTTTTGCTCTAGTGATGATGCTGACAATGTGATTCCCAGTGTGCTTTTTATCTCTTGTGAGTTATGGGGGTTGATTCTTGCAGAAGCTGAAACGGGGGTTGCATTAGCTCCATTTTTGGGTAAATTCAGTTCTTTAAAGATGGTTAGTCGGAAAAACTCCATTGCGTTCTTTGAATACAAGCTTCTGGAGAAGGCAAGCAACAGTTTTTCGGACAGTAACGTTTTGGGAGAGGGCGGATTTGGACGTGTATACAAGGCTAGGTTGGATGACAACAAGCATGTCGCTATCAAGAAGCTAGATTGTGGGATTCAGGACGCCATTAGAGAGTTCGAGGTACTATATTTTGTTAGAATTACATAATGGGTGTTTTCTTTTTGGATTCTCTGCAGTCATCTTACTGTTCCATTGCACAACTCTGGCGTGACATCGCAGAACGAGGTGGATTTGTTGAGCAAAATGCAGCATCCGAATATAATTTCCCTCCTGGGTTATAGCATCAATGATGAGACAAGGTTTATTGTTTACGAGTTGATGCAGAATGGCTCGTTGGATACTCAGTTGCATGGTAAAAAAATATTCTTTCTGCTTATGCTTCGGTTTGTATATCAACACAGGTAAAAAAAATGGTCATAAGAAAGACGAACTGATTTTCAGTCATAAAATTATTGTATCAGGACCTTCTCGAAGATCAGCATTAACTTGGCACAGGCGGATGAAAATCGCTTTAGATACAGCGAGGTAAGCTTTTGGTGTGGCACCCAAAGGCTGATCTCTTTTCACTGTCATTTAATAATGCGGATTCAACAAATTGTTTGAATTTTGACCAGAGGATTAGAATATCTGCATGAGCACTGCAATCCACCAGTCATCCATAGAGATCTGAAATCATCCAATATACTTCTCGATGCCAACTTTAATGCTAAGGTACGCTGTGTGTATAATATTGCAACTTCTCTCATGTTCTTAATTTTATATTCCCACTGATATGTTACAAATATGTTGCTATACCTTCTTGTCTGTTTATTATATTCAGCTATTTCTCTCTCATCATATTCTTGTTCAGCTTTCAGATTTTGGCCTTGCTGTGACTGACGGATCCCAAAATAAAAACAATGTCAAGCTTTCGGGCACACTGGGTTATGTAGCCCCGGAGTACTTATTGGATGGTATGCCCACTGTATTGACAGATAAGAGTATTGTAATGGCTTGCGATGTCTTATTAATTTATTGCTCACTCTTCCCCAGCGCAAATTATTTACCTTCTCCTTTTGGACCGCCAGTGACCTCAATTATGTTGCATGATGATTACTGAGTTCGGTTAATGGATCGCGGGCAACCTCCCTTGTGAAATTGTTCTGAGTGCCTGGCTACACGTCACACATGTCCTGCTGCCTCTGTGCAATCCACCTAATACCCACATGATTGAAGCTTTGGTCACATAAATACCTAATTTGAATCAGGAGTCCATGAGATCTAAGTCCCATTCTTATGAGTCCTTAGAATTTCCCTGTACGCTCTTGGAGTACTACACTCCGAATCTCAGAACACACTATCTGCAGGTGGTTTACTGTCCAAGTTAGAAGGAACAGTGGACGTTCTTTCTTTGCTTGCATTGTCTTTATGATTCAAACATCGAGCACCTTAATTCTTGCGAAGTCTATTTTGTTCATATTGTTAGCCTAACCTTGGTCATTATTTACTATGGAACATGCTCGATCACGAAAGACAAGATCTAGGCTGCATGCGCATTTCCTGATGAATGCTAATTTGTGCAATTTTGCAAAAGATGACAGCTTAGCACCAATTTTTTTTACTCTAATGAGAAAAGGGAGACAAAGCTAGGAACTCTGGAATTAGTGACTGTAACTCAGAGAGGGACGGCTGATTGCCAGATACTTCTCCCGAATGTTTTTCAAACAAGTCTCAGATAGCGGAAGAACCTCTTGTGGCATGATTTGCGACGTCGAAATTAGTTTACTGCGTTTCTTGTTTAAGATGAGATCTGTGCACCGACATGGTTTTTTAGCTGGCCAGTGTGCTTAATGCCATCACCATAGTGGTTAATTGTGTCATTTCAGGTAAACTGACGGATAAGAGCGACGTGTATGCTTTTGGGGTTGTCCTATTGGAGCTTCTCTTGGGAAGAAAGCCTGTGGAGAAACTTGCACCAGGTCAATGCCAATCGATAGTCACATGGGTAAACACCCACTTCTAATCTCCATCTTATGCCTAATCTGAGGGGTGTGCAACCCCATTTATGGTCTGAAATTATTCAATCTTAATGAATGCAGGCCATGCCTCAGCTTACTGACAGATCAAAGCTTCCAAACATTGTGGACCCTGCAATAAAAGATACTATGGACATGAAACACTTATACCAGGTTCATTGACCGTTAGTTTCAGCTAAAACCATCCCAGTTCTATAATTTAATAGCCAACTTGACCTTAAAAAAGCCGAGTTTAGTATTTCTGTCGAACGACCCAACTTCCTATTGAATTTGCCATTCTTAATTCCGGACGTGTATTGTCTCTGTTTAGGTCGCTGCGGTGGCTGTGTTGTGCGTGCAACCGGAGCCAAGCTACCGTCCGCTGATAACGGACGTGCTACACTCTCTCATCCCACTCGTGCCAGTTGAGCTCGGGGGTTCCCTGAGAGCTGCAGTGCATTCTGGTAACTAAGATATGCGCGTAAGGAAACGTGTTTACGAGCTGCTTTTTAAGAGTGTCAGGCTTGCTTTCTAGAATGCTCAAATCACGGCGGCTGAGCAGTGGAGACCCCGTTTCGCGTGTGGGTTCATGGTCACACCGGGTGTTGCGTCCAAAAAAAAAGTGGGCCTGACAGGAGAAGTGCTTCTTTGTGTGCTAATTTGTAAATTGCAGGACTATATAATGAAACGGGTTTTATATGGTATTGCGAAATAGTTCACCGGGGCGGAACGTCGAGCCCTACTCGCTCGAGATTTCTGATTTGAATATAGATTGAGAATAGTCCTCAATATATTACACGTTTGCATATATACTACTTATAGTTTGATTGGTCTTTTCCCGTTTATGTCAAAACTCTTACCGAAGAAGAATACTTCATTCTAATCCTTGTCATGACTATAAGCCTTATAGGGTCGGGTCGTAACATACACACTTCTATAATGTTTCGGGTCGGGTCGGATTGGGTTTTCATGACACCCGATAATATTTTGCTCTGTGCTGGGTACAACCCGTTCCATACCTGGGCCGTGCCTGCGTCATGTCAAGCCGGCTCGTGGCCAGGCCTTGTACCAAATCCATGGGACGGGCTTGTCCAGGGGCCTCGTTCTGAACCAGCTGTTCGCTTTATAGTCTTTTTTTTACCAGCAATTGGGGACAGAAATATTAGCTGAAGACTCTTGTACTTTAAGATGTTACCTAAGATGAATTCATCATTGGACGATGTTTTGCTAGGAAAGCATCCCTTCCAATCGTTGACTCGACAATAAGGCTCCATTTATTTTACAAAAAATATTTTCTAGAAATACATTTTCCACATTTTCTGTGTTTGAATGCCTAGGAAAATGAGTCAATGAAAAATGTTTTTTTAGTCAACGGAAAATCAATGCTTAAATTCAGAAAAATGATTCTCTTTAAAAAACCGAAAAATATTTTCCAAAATGAGACTTTGTGCTTGGGTACGAGAACTCCAATACTCGTTCCAGGGCCCTTGGTAGCGGGGCTGGGACTTGAGGTTAGGGTTGGGTCTACAAAGGTCCATTGAGGACAAGCCTGGGTCCGTCGAGGTAGGGTCTAGGACTGCAGTGCCCGTGTTGGGACTCTAGGGCTCGTGCCTAGGACCTCGGCTCGCTGGCTCCTTGGCTTGGGTCCATCGAGGCCAAGCTCAAGACTCGTGCTTGTGCCTAGGACCTAGGGCCTTGCCTGCATCCATCTAAGTTGTGCTCAGAACCTAGGCCGTTGCGTCGGGGTCTATCGAGGCCAGACCTGCTAACTCAAGGTTGGGCCTAGGTCCTTGACACCCGTGCCCCGGTCCCTTGAGGCCGAGCCTCGGCCCCGGCCCCAGTGTCTGGGTCAATTGAGGCAGGGCCTAGGACTCCGGTGTTGTTACCTATGCCTGGGTCCATGAAGGCCGAGCACCAGACCCCGGTCTCAACACAACACAGACAAACCCAAAGCGATTCCTATTCAAACTCAGATCCTTCCTCTTTCAGGTACACTAGAATTCAAAGCATCCACCCAACAAAAAATGGAAACAAACGCGAAGCACCTTACCTCCACCGACAGAGAGCGAAACTAGCTAACGAACACGCGCACACAAAGCAGTAGAGAACTCAAACCCGGCTGGTCAATTAATGATGCAAGCTCTTTCAGAACAACGAACTTCTAATCCAAATTCCAAGCGACAAATGAACTCTTTTTCATCGAACGAGAAGCTGCAAGGTCCAAGGAAGAATCGGAATGCGACCTGTTGACGTCAGTGAAGTTAGAGTCAGACCCAGGAGCAACCCTTTTCCTTCTTGTGTTCTTCTTGTTCCCCCTACGCCTGCGATTTTTACTCAGCTCTTCTTGCTTCGAAACCTCGGCATCTCCATCCACGACAGGTTGTGCCAGATCGTTCTTTATGTTCTGATGATCCACAAGTTCGCCCTCCTCCACGTCGACCATTTCGACATCATCTTGTCGAAGTTGTCCTCTTCATAGATGGCGTCCAATACGCTCTCTCCCTCCATCAGCCAAAGGATGAACTCAACAAGCTCCTGTCTCTCTACCTCTCTCTCTCAAGCTTCACCGATACTAATTAACTATTCCGACCAAACATCACGGTCATTGTACTTCGAATCGCTTTTACATCAAGAAAGGAACGAGAACGAAGAAACTAAATTGGAACGACTGAAAATTGATCGCTTGAAAAATGACTGGAAATAAGCTACAAGAAGATAAGAATGCATCGACTGGAGTAAATCTTCTTCTTTAGCTGTTTGTGCGTCCCGTCTTGGTTGCATGTGAAAGTGCAAAATAGGTTCATAATAGTATGTTTAGCCACATATATGATATTCAGAGTTTAATTTTATTCGATATATTGAGTAATTGGATAAAAGCTAATAATACTGAATTTTATATATTTCGTATCTATCTAGTTCTGTTACAATTGGGTTCAGATATGATATATATCTACAACTTCACAATTCTGAACGTGAACTTCCCTATCTCGATAAGTTAATTCATACCATTTAACTTCCAATAATTTTCTGGCCAAAAGTAATATTATAAAAGATTTGTTAGTAGGAACAGTACAATATTGAGCAGTGGGAACGGGGGAGCTGAGAAAAAGAAAAAGAAAAAGAAAGAGAAGAAACAAAATAGTCAACAATTTCCGCATATTTCACAAGAATTCAATAAGGTTTTCTTGTTTCGGTAAACTGTTCGTTTAATATGACACATAAATATTCGAATACAATCTAAATACTGTACTAGGTTTACGTGCATACCAGGTGATGAAAATTCATTGAAAATATAATCACTTCGCCAAGAACAAGATCACTTACATTTTACATAATATAATGTCAAAAGAAGGGTGTTGATTATTTAAATACGTGGTCTAAATAAAGTATAGAAAAGAGAACAAGAGCTTGGTTGCGTAGACCACCATGACTTCGGATGGGTGTGGGTGGGCCTTGTGTGGAAATAAAGAAATCTCTATTTAGGCCTTCTGTTGGAGGAGAGAGGAGTCCAACATGGAAACAATCGAACATCCACTTCGACTTTTATTACACGAGAGAGATAGGAGAAATCGTCTTTTCGGAGACATCCTATAAAATTAGAACAATACAGTGCAGATTAGCACGGGTCTGTGCAAGAATTATAGGCACAAATTGAGAAATTGTTCAATTTTTTAAACCTTTTTATTCGAGTTTTGAAGAAAGTATAAAATTTTTTACCTCCTTGGAATCTACTTATTCGTCAATAAATAAATCTTTCTTCTCTAAAGCTTTACGATAGTGGACGTATACTCCCAATCACTATAAGTAAAATGAAGATTGGGGGATTAAACCGCATCCCATTATGAGCATTTGGCCTTTTTATTTTTATTTTTTATAATAATTCAGGGGCACAGTGTGAATATCCAATTACCAGTACGCTCATGAAACACTTTACAAGTTCCATAAACCGATTAAGCTCAGACCTGTAGCAATTATTGTCAACACATCATCTAGGAGCTTCGATTCTTCAGTCATGAAATGATTTTCCTTAGGGTTCCATTTGGGCTTCGGCATAAGACCTAGGCTATTATATGTAAAGGAAATTACGCATTGATAAATCTCAAGCAAGTGAAATCGAAGATTCGGGTCTTCCTATTTGAGTGAGATAATCAATTCATCCTCTAGAATTAATCACAGAGGATATTGAGCTATACTTAGACACGCCATTTGAATTTTTCAATCTATTAATAGGATTCTTTGCCACTATAGTACTTGAATTCCTCAATTTATTAATAGAGCTATATCAAATGTCACATTGATAGCACGCGCATGCACTTAGAGAGATGCCCTCAAAATGATGTTATGAGGCGCAAATAAGTCATATTTAAGCAAACCTCAACAAAGTCCTTCACATTATTATTATAATTATCGTTATTATCGTAGCAGCATCTTAAGTTGAGATCATTATTGTTATAATTATCATTATTATCGTAGCGGCATAGGCCTGTGCTTGTCCCGATTTCACCCGGTGACGATGGGCACACTCCGTAAAACGACCGTCTCGACGGTGAGGCCGGGGCCGAACCCTAATAGCACCCCCAGCTCCATCCCCTCCCCCATCGTGGCCTTCCGTTCCTCGATCGACTTTCTCCTCATCTCGTCCAGAATAAAGAAGACACAGGCGCTGACCATGTTCCCAAACTCTTCCAACACGTGCCTCGAAGCTCTTAGTTTCTCTTTCCCCAATGCAAATCTTGCTTCTATGCAGTCAAGAATCCTCCTACCTCCGGGATCTACGGCCCAGAAAATGATGTTCTGATCCGTGACATTAATCGAGCCGAAAGCTTCCACCAAAATCTCCTCCAGGTCGGTGGCAATATATGCCGGCACCTTCTCCGATATCCACATGGTGAGACCGACCTTGCGATGATGGCCTTCAATCGCCCTGTCAGAGTCCGGCAACACCGACTGCGAGGAGGAGATGATTTGGAAGATTGGCCGTTCAATGGTCGCATTCGGCAGAGCAGTACCGATAATCATAGCTGCTGCCCCGTCACCAAAGAGCGCTTTACTAACTAAGTAAACTGGATCATCCTCAGAGGGAGCTCGAAACGAGGCGATGGTCGACTCGACGCAAACCGCGAGCACCCGAGCCCCGGGGTTGTTCTCGGCAGTGTCCTTGGCAATTCGGAGGACGGTTCCTCCGGCATAGCAGCCTAGGTTGTATAGCATGACCTGGTTGACCGAAGGTCGGAGGCCGAGCATCTTGAGGAGTCGTAGGTCCGCGCCGGGCGTGTCCACTCCGGAAAGGGAGCAGAAGATTAGGTGCGTGATCGTCGATTTCGATTGGCCCCATTCTTCAATGGCCTTCGTGGCGGCTTCCATGCCGAGCTTCGGGATCATTTCGATCGTCAAATCTTGACGTGGGTCTAGTGATGCGGCACCGTAAGAGCATAAAGCTGGGTTTTGCTTGAGAATTTCCTCGTTCAAGTGAAAATATCGCTTCTTTATTGCAGATTTCTCACCTTTAACATAAGCATCATCAGAAAACCAAATCAATTTTGACAGAATCATTAACAATAGATAAAACATTACCATCGGCATCCTTGAAAAACATGTTAGAATTTATATATTCCTAGCAGCTTAAATTTTGAGGAAAAACGGTTTACCCGAAATCCCCCCCCCCCCCCCCCCCTTTCCCTTTATGTGATGAGTTTAAAGAGATGAAATAAATTGATTAAAAGGGTATATGAGGAACCACTTTGGGTCTTCTGGTTCCGATAAATTAAAATTTGAGTTTGCAAAATTCCATAATTGAGCTGCCAGTAGGATTTTGGATTTTGGCTCGCGTTTTACATGATCAGTGAAGTTATTGTGCATTCTATGGGCCCGGTGTTTATATACCAAGGTGGGGCGCTTGTGATTGTAAAATCAAAAAAAGAGTGAATGGTCTTTTCAAAAGTCGAAGTCACATTGAAAGGGACGCAAATTGTTTTCAACATAGCACGTAACATTCGTATCACACTTGGACAGTGATAAAGGGTAGAAAAAGAGATGGTATATGTATGAAGTAGTGCACACAAAATTGTTTACTAAAGATATAACATGGAAATATTAGTCAATGAAATGAAATGCTTTCGGCGCAACATGATGTTTAACTCTTAAGTAATTTGATTATCACATTATGATTAGACAAAGCCGACTTTGAGTACGTCTGGTCGTTTGTCAACACAAAAAGAATGAAAGGTAAAAGTGTCATCTGCTAAATTCCGCGAAGTCAAAACGGTGTTGATGTGACAAAAGGTATCTAGAGAATCAGTCAGACAATCTCGCATGTTTCGGAGAAAAAAGTACAATGAATGCGGACGAACTCCTCCTTCACATTGTCAACATAAAAACAACGATGAGTAAGGCTGTATTTGATAATTATTTTGTTTTCGAAAATAATTTTTATTTAAAAATAATTTTTTTGATTTTGTATCCGAAAATAATTTTTAAATATTTTAAGGCGTGTTTGGCAACTGGCCAAATAGTAACTATTTCTATTATTTTGTTCCCAAAATCAATTTTGGAATAGAAATTCTTTTGGTAAATTTTTTATTTCCGGGTACAAATTTGCAAAAATTTGTTTCCAGAATCAGTTTTGGAACAGAATCAAGAATTAGTTTTTGAGCAGAAATCCATTTAGTAAATTTTTTGTTCCCGGGCACAAATTTGCAAAAGTTTGTTTCGAGAATCAGTTTTGGAACAGAATCAAGTAGCAAAAAAAGTTGCTTCTTGATCCTGGGAACAAGAATAAGAAATGAAAAAGAAATTTTTTTTCTTTTTCTTCTTCTTCTTGGCCTGTGGTCGGTTGCTGGCCGCCAGCCACTGGCGACCGGCCATAGGCTAGGGCCGGCGAGGGCGTCGTGGCCCTCACCTGTGGTCGGTGACCGTCCCCCATGCCGGCGAGGGCGAGGGCTGCCCTCGTCGGATTTGGTATGGGCGACCCTCGCTAGATCCGGAGAGGGCGGCTCGCGGCCTGGGCAAGGGCCGCCTTTGCTGGATCTAGTGAGGGCGACCCTCGCCAAGGCCGCCGAGGGCGGCCTTCACCCAGGCCGCTAGTTGCCCTCGCCTAGGCTGTGAGCCGCCCTCGTCGGATCTGGCGAGGGCGGCCCTCACCTAGGCGGTGAGGGCGGCCCTTGCTGGCCTTGGCCTGTGGCCAGCTGCCGGCGTCGGCAACCTGGCCATGGCCAAGGAAGGAGAAGGGGAAGAAAAAAAGAAGAAAGAAATATTAAAAAATTCAAAATATTATTAAAATGTTATTAATAAATTTTTTTTTGTACAGTTACTAAACACCTTCAAATGCTTAGAAATTGATCCCGAGCACGGAATAAAAAAGAATCATTTCTGAGCAGAATCAATTTTTTGGAATAGAATAGTTGCCATGTTTGGTAACTACCTAAAATTTCTATTCTTGGAATAGAAAAAGAATAGAAATGCGTTTGTTCACTACACAATTTTTTTTTTATTAACAATATTTTGAATTTTTTAATATTTCTTTCTTTTTATTTTTCTTCTTCTTCTCCTTCCTTGGGCATGGCCAGGTCGCCGGCGTCGGCGACCGGCCACAAGCCAGGGCCGGCGAGGGCTGGATCCTCGCCGCCTGGGCGAGGGCTGCGATGCCCTCGCCAGCCCTGGCCTGTGGCCGGCTGCCGGCCACAGGCCAGGAAGAAGAAGAAGAAGAAAACCAAGAAGAAAAAGAAAGAAAGAAAAATTTCTTTTCCATTGCTGATTCTTTTTCCTAGAATCAATAAGCAACTTTTTTTTGCTTCTTGATTTTATTCCAAAACTGATTCTGGGAACAAATTTTTGCAAATTTGTGCCCGGGAACAAAAAATTTACTAAACGGATTTCTGTTCAAAAACTAATTTTGAGAACAAAAGAATAGAAATAGTTACTGTTTGGCCGGTTGTCGAACGCACCATAATAGTAACTGATTCTATTCTTTTGTTTCCGTAATCAATTTTGGAACAAAAATCCATTTGGTAAATTTTTTGTTCCCAGGCACAAATTTGCACAAATTTATTCTCAAAATTAGTTTTGGAACATAATCAAGAAGCAAAAAAAAAAGTTGCTTCTTGATTCTGGGAATAAGAATTAGAAATGAAAATAAATTTTCTTCTTTTTCTTCTTCTTGGTTTTTTTCCTGGCCTGTGGTCGGCCGCCGGTGACCAGCGACCGGCCACAGGCCAGGGCCGGTGAGGGCGAAGGTGGCCCTCACACAGGACGCTAGCCGCCCTCGCCAGGCGAGGGTCCAGCCCTCGCCAGATCCGGCGATGGCGGCACTCACCCAATCCGCGAGCCGTCCTCGCCGGATTTGGCAAGGGCGGCAGCGAGGGTCCAGCCCTTGCCAGATCTGGCAAAGGTGGCTCTTGCCGAGGCAGTGAGGGTCCAGCCCTCGTTGGCCCTGACTTGTGACCGGTCGCCGGCGCCAGCGACCTGGCCATGGCCAAGGAAGGGAAAGAAGAAGAAAAAAAAATGAAAAAAAATGAAAAAAAGAAGAAAGAAATATTAAAAAATTCAAAATATTATTAATAAAAAGAAATTCTGTACAGTTACCAAACGCATTTCTGTTCTTATTCTATTCTAAGAATAGAAATTTTGGGCAGTTACCAAACGCCTTCAATTGCTTAGAAATTATTTTCGGGAATGGAATAAATAAGAATAATTTCTAAGCATAAATTGTTTCCGGGGATAGGATGATTACCAAACACATTCTAAGAATATAGTGGTAAAAAAAAAATAATCTCGAGAAGCTCACACCTATTTCGTCTAAATAACAATTACTATTTATGGAGTTGAAAAGTAGAATGCAACAACGCATTTTTGTACTTCAAAAGTGCAAGAGAGAGTTGGTTTCAGGATGATTTTGAAACAAGCATGTGGGGGCTTACAAATGCGGACGAACTTCTCCTTTACATTGGTCAAATGGTGGGTGTTGGTGACGCGAAACAAAAATTCAGGATAGTCTTCCTGATTGATGCAGTTCGAAGGGTTGGCTGTGCCAACGGCCAGAATTGCTGCTGGAACTTTGCACTCACGGGACTCCTCCGTCACTGAAATTCCGAGTACAAAGATGAACAGGGACGAACGGGGATTACTGTTATATATAGGTGCATGCATGGAGGGTGGGTAACGATTAATTAAATTCCCATTTTAGATTAGATGGGTCCTTAATTCCCACTTGGGATGGGGTTGCTAGGGTGGGTGTATATGTTGCATGGTGCCGGAGCATTAAGGTTATGTTTGGCTATCTGTACATAAACTCGGTCCAACTCGATGGTTGAGACTTGTGAATAAACCGGCATTGTGTAATTCAAATTTGGAAAGAGAAGATACAAATAGGAATACCAGATAAGTTTCGACACGATATATTTCTCTGGTAGAAATAAAAATTTAAAGGAAATGCTCATCAATAGGAGAGAGGTTTCGGAAAGTGCGGACAGCGGTTCAAACAACGGTTGTGACCATGCAATCCTCTGTCCTTTTCTAAATCAGTTTACGTGGTTATAAGGTGTGGGTCTAGGAGGTGAGTGTAAGATTATGTAAGATTACTGCCTAACTGCTTTAAAAGTTTAAATTATTAGGTAAAGAAATTATTAATATTTAGGGCATGTCCGGATAGATTCTTATTTTTTATTTTTTACTCAATTTAAAATTTATGGTAGACACATTTTGAATTTTTTTAACACAAAACACCTCATACTTTCACAACATTTGAATGAACACGTGGGGCGGCAGTCATTTCTTTTAGTTTAAATGGGGGTAGATCTAGTCGTATAACGCATATATATTCCTATAGCGTTCTACATACACCGTGTAAAAGTATTTTGCTAATAATAAGGAAAAAAGATAAATACTTTGATAATTGTAAAAAAACTGAAAATCTTTTTGATCATTTCTTCTGTAATAATTAATCTATTCTTTGTCTCTCTTGTCTCAAAAGCTCATTTTCCTGGTGAATTTTTTTTTTCAAAAAATAGACAGTGGGCTAGACTAACAAATAGTTATAGAATTTATTATTTTGTTTATTATTATTTAAAAAAAAGAAAAAAGCGAAACGGGGCCTGGTCTTTGTGGTCTAGGTTGCTGATTTTGATTGATTTCCGCAGCTGGTGTTGACGGTTGTACAGTTTCCTCTTCATTATTGGCTCATACACTCATTAAATTATCTTCAAACTTCATATTTATCGATTTTTCCACTTCCTACGAGACTTTGTTAAAAACACCATATGCTTTACTTGAAGTCGAGTAACCAAGAAATATACATTCGTTTGATCTTGATTCACACTTACCAACATTGTCAATTGTATTCTTGAGTATATAGCATATGCAACCGAAGACGTGAAAAGTATGATATGCTTGGCTTTCTATCTTGAACAACTCATAGGGGGTTTTCTTGAACAATAGCCTAAAATATAGTCAATATATGATATAGCAGGCATTAGCAATTGCTTCCGCCTAGAAACAAGCACAAGTGCCGCTTTCAATCATCATTGTTCTTGAAGACATCGATTGTTCCTTTCCATAGCACCATTTTACTATGGAGTATATGCTATGGAGAAATTGTGCTCCAAGCCATTTGCTTCATAGAAATCCAAGAAGCTTTAGTTCTAGAATTCTCCTTCATGATCTGTTCGAATAGCTGAAAAGTTGTACCTTTTCTCATTCTAGACTTTTCGTGCAAATTTCACCAAAGAATGAAATGCATCATTTTTGTGGGCTAAGAACATCGGCCATGTGAACCTTAAATAATTTTCCACAATCATTAGACGGTATCTTTTACTGCCAAGGCTGGTTTTTCCAGTTGGTCCAAAAAGATCCATGTGAAGTAACTACAATCCTCTGTTAGTAGCTACATGTCATATTGGTACTTGTTCTCCTATTGTCACAATTTTTGTCCTTGCCTTCACTGATCTCGTAGGAATCATTGATATCAACACAATTGACAATGATATTAACATATGCATTTATCATAATAGATATTGTACCAATGATAGTTTTGGAATAATCAAAGTTCCACAGGGATGCTTTCCCAACAAAGAGGCAGGAAGAGGTCGGGTTTGTGGCAATAGGGACATTGGCTCAACTGATTGGGGGAGTGGACCTCATGCTTCTATTTTATGAAAAATTTAATTGGAGTATTGCCTGTTGTTTCACAAGTTTAATCAATTAGACGAAAACATGGTTTAGCATTAAAATATTCTAATACTCCCCTCACACATAAATTTGGATTTAACAAAGTAAGATTAAAACTCAAGGAAAATTATCCAATCATTCCTAAACATATTGTACGGATGCCAATTCAATCATAAACTTTTCAATTTTGCCAATTTAGTCTTAAACTTTTGTGCGAAATTTCAATGAGTCCGTTCAGCCAATTTTCGTCTGAAATTGCTAACGTGGCGATGTGCCGCGTAGGACGATAGGTTGTGACTGGTCCGCCACGTTAGTGATTTCTGATGAAAATTGAGCGGAAGAATTACATTGGAATTTCATGCAAAGGTTTATGACTAAATTAACAATATTAAAAAAATTTTAGGACTAAATTGACATCCGTACAATAGGTTAAGGACTGATCGGATAATTTTCCCCTAAACTTAATACCTTTCATTTTGATATTTTATAAGATTTTGTTGGAAGCACTGTAAACTTTTTTCAATCTTAAGTGATTAGGCATGATTTGATGTTCAAAAATTGTAACGGTGGGTCGGCAATTTTGCATAATTTCTCAAAATATACACGTGATCGTACTTTTGTATCTAAAGGTTGGCCAAATTCTTGCACATTTACTCCCCTTTATACTCACGTGTTTGAATTCTAACATTTAAGAACACGAGCCCACCTCCGAACGCTAATTCGAGAGCTGCCACGGGCAAAGTTGAACTAAAACATAGGTGTTTTTTTTTTTTGGTCGTCTACTAAAACATAGGTTTACCCGGAGGACTTTAAAGGTTGATAAATGATGTTGCCCCATCCACAAGAACGCTAGCAATGGAGTTGAAATTTTGTAAGGCAGAAGAAGAAAAATTCCTGGACCAATGGGAAGTTAGGATGACTAAAGCTCTACTCGTTGCGAATTTAACCTGAGAAAAATTCTCTGTTTTGAATCCCTAATTATCTTCATCGGGAACGATGAAGATTACATACTTGAGATATGAGATGAGCATATCGGTATTCCATTTGCAAAAGTGGGGTTTACGGGTCGAAATCACAAAGCAGGTCCACTCTTCCTTACTAAATTTCATCCGTTGGTAAAGTATGCATGACGTTGTTTGGAACGCGATCCAAGGCATGCTACGATAATTATTACTAATATGATGATGGAAAAAGATGGTGAAGTGAATGCGCTACTTCCTTGTTATGAATATTAGGAGATTCATCCTGTCAAAGGACAATAACTTGTAGAACCAAATAAAATGAGAACTATATCAAAATGCAGTGGCAAGCATGTAGTTAAGAAAATCAATATTAATGAAATCATTGAAGTTGGTTTCCTTAAGATTGTGTCTTGGTGCATGAATTAGGCGAAAAGCAAAACTATCATTTGCTCGGTGATGAATGGATTTTAGTCTCAATCTTAAGGGGTTATCTGAGTTTTGAAGATGATGCTCAAGAGAGATTAGTGGAGAAAATTGTCTAAGAAGTTCTATACCTGTTGCACTTTTGCCAATTCAGTCATAAATCTTTTAATTTTGTCAATTTAGTCTTAAACATTTCAACATTATGTCGATTGAGTTCATCCGGCCAATTTTGGCTAGAAATTGTTGACGTGGATGCCGGCCGTCCTATGAGGCACAGCTGGCGCTTACGTGGATAATTTTTAATAATATTTTATTATTTTTTACAAATTTTTAATAAATTTTCTTTTATTTTTCCTTTCCTTTTTTTTTTTTTACAATATATGGCCGGAGAGGGCTGCCGGGCTCACGCCGGCTAAGGGCGAAGGCCAGGACGATCTCGCTTAGATTTGGGCGAGGCCATAGTGGCCGCGAGCGAGGCAGCCTCGCCTAGATCTGGGCAAGGTGGCCTAGCCTGCGGCTGCGATGGTCTGGGCAAGGCTTTCGCGGCCCTCCTCTAGACCTTGCGAGTAGAGGTGTCAAAATGGGTCTTAAACCCATATATGACCCATTTAAAAATAAATGGGTCATATATGGGTCACTTTAATTTTAAAGAGCCAACCTTAAATGGGTTTTAAATTTTAAAGCTTAAAGATAAATGGGTCTAAATGGGTTGAGTTTGGAACCCATGTCCAACCCATCTACTAGACCCATCCACACACACACTCTCTCTTTACAAAAATGTTTAAAAAAATCGAAATTTAATTATTTTTATTTTTTCTCTTTTTCTTTTATTTTTTATTTTCTCTTCTTTCTTTTTTTTTTTTTTTTTATTCCGGCCGGTGGTCGGCCACGGCGACCGGCCACCGGGGCGGGACGACCTCGCCGGAGGCAGGCGAAGCTCGAGCTCGCCGGCCTCAGGTGAGCTCGACCTCGCCCGAGGCTGGCGAGCTCGAGCTTCGCCGGCCTCGGGCGAGGCTCCACCTCGCCAGATCCGGCGAGGTCGAGCTCGCCTGAGGCCGGCGAGCTCGAGTCTCGCCAGATCAGCGAGGCTGGAGCCTCGCTTGAGGCCAGCGAGGCCTCGGCCTCGCCAAATAGGCGAGAACGAGCTTCGCCGGCCTCTGGCGAGCTCGTCCTCGCCTGTGGTCGGTCGCCGGCCACGGCGGCCGGCGATCGGCCAAAAATAAAAGAAAAAGAAAAAAATAAAAATAAAAATAAAAATAAAAAATAATTAAAAATTCGATTTAAAAAATAAAAAAATATTAATTTTTTTTATTTTCTTGGATAATGACTTTATGGAAAATATTTTCTAGAAAAGTCTCATTTTTCGCAAAACAAACAGAACCTCAATTTTTAAAAAAATTATAAAAAATTTTCACTAACTTTGTATTGCATAAAATGTTTTAGCAGTATAATTTAAAAAAAAATCATAAGAAATAAGTATTCCTAGATTAGGTTAAATATAAAAGTGTTTTAGCAATATGGGTCAGGTCGGGTATGGGTTGGGTATGGGTCGAGTCAGGTATGGGTCGAGATATTTACACTATGAATAAATGGGTCATAAACGGGTTAATGGGTCAATTTGGGTCGGACCATTTATGACCCGATCCAAACCCGACCCGACCCACCCGTTTAACAGGTCTACTTGCGAGGGCCTGTCCGACCAGCCATGACGTCCTTCTGCTTTTCTTCTGCAACCCAAGGCAAGCGTCGAAGGTTTGAGCAGATAGTGGCTGAATGAAAAGCTCTTCTTCTTTTTCTTCCTGTTCTGTTGTTGCTGTGTTGATGCTAGGAAGATTCAACTCAATGATGGACGATGTCGTGGCTGGTCGGATTGGTCCTCGCTAGATCTAGGCAAAGGCCTAGACCATTGCGGCTGCTATGGCCTCGCCCAAATTTGGACAAGGCGGGGTGAGGGCAACCTGGATTTTACAATGTTAAAAAATAGTTGTAAAAAAAAAACAAGGAAAAGAAAAGAAAAGGAAAAAGAAAGTAAAAAAAAAAATTAAAAATTGGAAAAATAAAATAAAATATTATTAAAAAATATCCACGTCTGCGCCATTCAACGGTTGACGTCCACATCAGCAATTTTCGGCCAAAATTGACCGGATGGACTTAATTGATAAAACATAAAAATATTTAAGACTGAATTGGTAAAACTGTAATAGATTCACCAATATGTGTGATATAGAAACCAAAGCTTGGATTGGGCTCGGATTTTCCGATGCCTGAAAGAGACCACTGAAGCCCATTATTTGCGTCTTGAAGAAAGGAAGCTTAAAATAGTCTAGCCTAATCAAGGGAATAAGCCCACTGTCTCTAGTTTGGGCTCATCGACTATTGAATACATCGAATTTGGGAAATTAAGATTTAAAGAATCCTAGTCCCTTAATCGAATACATTGAAATTTGGTCTATTCAAACCCATCAAAATGCTACATTTAATGGTTGTATTTTTTTTTTTTTGGTAATAGCCAATGGGGCCGTTACCCATTTTTTCATATCTATATAACAATCACTTGATGACTAAATAATCCTTAACCACTTACATTTGAGCCAATGAAATTTGTAAAATAAGTTTATCAATCTTTATATTTAGCATTATTCTTGGCATGCTATCGTTTGTGGGCCAAATCTCCAACCCCTTTGCATAAACCCCCAAAAATAAACTACTTATATCTGGGCCCGGACAAAAATGGCCCGACTATTAAAATATTAACAACGTTAGCCATGTTAGCAACTACGTAGGATAGTTTTTTTTTTTTGGTCTGTTCTAGGTAGGATAGTTTGAACGGAAACAAAAGTTTATTATTTTTGTCCCTGGGCAAAAATATGCTTTTGTTGGACATTAAAGATTCGGCAAAATGACATAAACGGTCCCTGAACTTTGGCCCAATGTGTAATTTGGTTCATGAACTTTTAATTTGTTCAATGTAGTCCCCGAACTTTAACTCAATGTGCAATGTGGTCCCTTAACTTTTCATTTGTTCAATGTCATCCCCGAACTTTTGGAATATATTCAATTCAGTCCCTGAATTATATGAAAATATTCAATGCAGTCCTTTCCATTAATTCAAGTTCAGGGATTACATTAAACATTTTCATATAATTAGGAACTGAATGGAATATGTACCAAAAGTTCAGGGATGACATTAAACAAAATAAAATTTCAGGAACCACATTAAACATTAGCCTAAAGTTCAGGGACTAGATTGAACAAATTAAAAAGACTGTTTGTGTCATTATCCCTAAAGATTAAGCCATTTTGTCTCTCAGGTGTAATTACGAGACTTTTCCGGTGAATTTGGCCATGATTCGTGAAAGATGGTAATAAATATGAGAGACTTAAAGAAACTTGTAGCAAGAGTAATAGTTGCTTTCATGCTTAACCCTTGCAAAGTACTTTTCTGCTAATTTTAGGGATGTAACTTGTAATTTTTGGTAAGAAATCAAGAAAGTACTTTTATGCTTAACCCTTGCCTACAAGGGTTGTTCTTGTCTGTCAGATCAGTTGCCAGTAAGTACTAAATTAATCCGAGTTATAGTTGATATTACGGTTGCGAGGGAATAGAGATGTAATAATTAGTTAATTGTAATAAACTATTATGCTATCCTTCATACATTTCTTCTCCAAGTAACAAAAGAATAATGCATCCTATCACCCTGATCCTCTGTCCCAATCAATTGGGAGGGAGAAGACAAGACAAATGGTGTGAGTTTAGACTTCCGGTGCGTTTGTTTTACGGAAGACTGAAATTTAGAAAATATTTTCCGGAAAATAATCATTTGTATCACCTACAAAAATAAAATAATGCAAAATATCTTCATCACCCATGAAAATAGTTAGGCGTAAATTTTTGTCGATAGTAAAAATATTTTCCGTTGATTAATTTTCTAAGCGATATAACCAATCATTTTTCGGAAAATATTTTTCAAATCTTGAGTTTTACCTGAAATAAACTCGCCCTTCGTATCCAATCGTAAGATAGGAATCAATAATCGACTAGTTCTGATAACAATGATGCAAGGCCTTTTAGCGACCCTTAAACTTAACTATCTGCTTCCAACATTTGGAAGCAAAACAGGGGATCTCCAGATTCCAGAAGCTTCAATTCTTCAGTCATGATATGATTTTCATCGAGTTCCATTTGGCTCTAATTCTATCACGAAAATATTCTTCCAATAGAAATGTTAGTAGTGGCCTCTAGTATATAGACCTTGGCTATTATGTATAAATGAAATTATGAACTGATAAATCTCAAGCAAGTGAAATTAAAGATTCGGGTCTTCCTATTTGAGTGAGATTGTCAAGTCGTCCTCTAGAATTAGTCACAGAGGCAATTGAGCTATATTTAAAACCCTATATGAATTCCTCAACCTATTAGTAGGGCTCTCTGCCACTATAGTATTTCCAAACTAAGTAGTTTCAACAGCCTGTCCAAAGTTGAGCCCTAAAATAGATTCTTTAAACCCTAAATTACTACAATTACCTTATGACTGGATAACAGACACTCCGACATTCAATTGATGCATTTAACTATTTCAAAAAGCTAATGCATTCTTTGATAGAATAAGTTTATTTTTATTCTTAGTTTGGTCAATACTTGGTGCTGATATTACAGGATCAAACATCATATCAATAACGCGCGCATACACGAAGAGAGAGACGCTGCTATGCCTTCGAATGAGAAATGTACTCATTCGAGTATTATCTTTTTAGAGGAATGCTAGCACGGACAGAAAGTTGGTTTATAGCGATAGTTCATAGAATGATTTTACTAGGAGCAAATGATTCAAATTTAAGCAAACATCAACAGAATCCATCACACTATTATTGTCATTATTATTACAGTGGCATTTTAAGTCGAGATTAAGAACACACAATTGCTCTCGCCGGCGTTTGCTGGTGTCGGTTTCACCCGTCAACGATGGGCACACTCCGTAAAACGACGGTCTCGATGGTGAGACCGGGCCCGAACCCTAATAGCACCCCCAACTCCATCCCCTCCCCCGTCGTGGCCTTCCCTTCCTTGATCGACCTTTTCCTGATCTCGTCCAGAATGAAGATAACACACACGCCGAACATGTTCCCGAACTCTTTCAACACCTGCCTCGTAGCTCTTAGTCTCTCTTTCCTCAATCCAAATGTTGCTTCTATGGAGTCAAGAATCCTCCTCCCTCCGGGATGTGGGGCCCAGAAAATGGAGTTCCAATCCGTGACCTTAATCGAGCCGAAAGCTTCGACCAAATTGCCCTCCAGATCCGCGGAAATCAGTTCCGGCACCTTCTCCGATATCTGCATGGTGACACCGACCTCGCGGTAATGGCCTTGGATCATCCCGTCGGAGTCCGGCACCACCGACTGCGAGGCGGAGATGATTTGGAAGATTGGCCGTTCTGTGGTCACGCGTGGCCAAGCAGCGCCGATGATCATAGCTGCCGCGCCATCAGCAAAGATTGCATTGCTCACTAAGTACACCGGATCGTCCTCGGAGGGAGCTCGAAACGTGGGGATGGTCGTCTCTGCGCAAACGACGAGCACCCGAGCCCCAGGGTTGTTCTCAGCAATGTCCTTGGCGATTCGGAGGACGGTTCCTCCGGCATAGCAGCCGAGGCTATAGAGCATGACCCGGCTGACCGAAGGTCGGAGGCCGAGCATGTTGAGGAGCTTTAGGTCCGCGCCAGGCATGTCCGCACCGGAGAAGGAGCAGAAGACAAGGTGGGTGATCGTAGACTTGGGTTGGCCCCATTCTTCGATGGCCTTCACGGCGGCTTCCATGCCGAGCTTCGGGAGCATGTCGATCGTCATATCTTGACGTAAGTTTAGTGATGAGGCGCTGTAAGAGCATAAAGCTGGGTTTTGCTTGAGAATTTCTTCGTTCAAGTGAAAATATCGCTTCTTTATCGCAGATTTCTCACCTGCAAGTAAACATCATCAGAAAATTAAATCAATTTCCACGCAATCATCAGTATTAAATAATCGGCATTCTTGAAGCATATGATAAAACGATGAACCACGACACATATTGAAGGGTTCGAATTCTGGCACTCCAATCCCTTTCAAATTTCTCCCACCTAACTTCCTATCTGTTAGTTATCTCGTTGACTTCATGACATTTACACCCAGTCTGCCGCTGCAAAAGAGCGACCGACCCGCGAATGAGACTATCAAGAAACATGACGGGAATACTATGCCGACACGTTTTCTAACAGTTTAAAATTTTAAGAAAAACGATTTGTCCAACAGGCACGATGAATTAAAATAAAAAAAATTATTAGAGACTCAATTCTTTAAACGGGCAACGTGGATGTTTTATTTGGTCTTTAATCATAAGGAAATAATCATAAATACTCATTTTCTCTCTTTCTTCTCTTTGCACCACCCACACTTGAATATGCTATCGGCCACCCCCATTGGCTGCGAACTCTCCTCTGCCAACACCATCGATGGCGTTGACGACGGAGTTCCTCTAGCGGCAAGAGGATCTAGAGGAGTCATTTCTTGATGTGGAGGTACCTCGTCTACATCTAGTCTCGGTCTGGAGGCAGTGACGACAGTAGAAGGCAACGACTCCATAATGAACACAATGACAAGAGGTAAGGAGAGAAAGAAGAGTTGACTTTTTAAATTTGAGATTTCATAGGGTATAGCGAGTCTCAAATGGGATAGAAACTGTGAGGCTCATCATTAAAAGTGGTGGGACAATGTCTGGAGACGATGTATGAGATAGAGGATGGTTGAAACGATGTGAAAATTATATGGTATTTGTAGCACACCTCTTTCTACCTGAACCTTCTCATTATGTGATGAGTTTAAGGGCCGAAAAGCTTAGTGCATCTGGACCCATTATTTAAGAAGTTGTGCAAATTCATGTTGTTCATATTAGAATAGAGTATAAATCGATGCAAAGGGTATATGAGGAATAATGCTCGAGTCTTCTGGCTCCGATAAAATATACTTCGAGTGCTCAAGCATCCATATTTGAGCCACCCAGCAGGATTTTGGCTTGCGTTTTCTATAATCCGTGAAGTGATCGGTGCGTTTTATGGGCCTAGAGTTTACATACCAAGGTAAGCGTGCTTGTGATTAAAAAAGAAAAAGAGGGAATGGTCATTGCTCTTAATGACCTTGATATTTTTTAGACAAAGCCCATGCGAACCATAGGTAAGAGGGTTAGTAGTGATCTAAACTGAAATGTGGTACATATACAGTGAGTCGTAAAATGCTTTATCAAGGCGAAAGGAAAATACTATGCAGGGTAACTAAGTGTACGTAGTAGTGGTACATAATAAAGAACGAAACTAATTAAACCCATGCGATTTTTCTCGAAGACCTTGATCACCTGTTAGCATATGAGATTTTGCAAAATGCCGTAAAAAACTTGATCCGAGTATCCTTACCACTCTAAGGGTTCTTTACTAAAGCAGGAACAATTCTATTGGTATCACTAACCGTTGGGGCATGCAAAATATTCATGTAAATAGGTCATAAAACTTTTGCATTGAAATCATAGTCATGAAATAAAAGATTTGTCTACCGATTATCAGCACCAACCCAAAAAATTAAAAAGAAAAAGAATTTAGAGTTGTTTGGCAACACGAAAAATGCTATTACAAATGCGCGCAAACTTCTCTTTGACGTGAGTAAGGTGGTTGGAGTTTGTGATCCGAAAGAGAAAATCAGGATAATCGTCCTGGTGGATGCAGTACGGCGGATTAGCTGTGCCAATGGCTAGGATTGCCGCTGGAGCTTTCCCCATCGACTCATCCCCAACATTGGTCGCCAAAGGTGCCATCGCAGTTTTTGTTTGTACCTGACTTGAGTGAAGAAGCAAAGTTCAGAGGGGAACAAGGGCTTTATTTGTAGACTGTGGGAGTAACTCCAAACCTTCAGGTTTCCTGTTAAATAGAGATAAAAGCATGTGAAAGACTGTGAAACACGAGGATGGGGTAGCTCACCTAACCTGCCAATGAAAATAGGCAGAATTGATGCACATAACAGGTTTAGTAGGGGGTCCCTAAATGTTGGGTGGTTTTGGGCATCTCTCACCCCAAAAGTTAGCTCAAAGGGTGAAACTTTTCCTCACACTTATAAACTGACCACCAGCCCCTTCTACAACTGATGTGGGATAATCCTCAACACTAAACAATCTACAATTTCCATAAGAAAGTCTGCACATGTATCTGAACTCAGAGTCGATTAAATCTGATGAGGTCCGGTCGCCGAAATTCTTCAATGCTTTGGGGTTCATCTAGCTGACGTCGTCGGGCTTTGTCCTATCAAGCCTCTTTGAGACGAAGTAGAAGGTCAGGTCATTGTTCACTTCCAAGTGCTCAGCGACCCCGATCGGGTCGAAGATTGAGGAGCCTGCGAGGAGGTTAAGCTTCAAGGTCGCGAGCTTAAAGGGCTTCAAGATGAGGCTGCAGGGACCAATCAAAGTTTGAAAATTAGGTGCCTGCGCTTTGCAGGGGGCAAGAGGACAGCATTTATCACTGCAATGGAACCGTCGTTGTAGATGAAGAATTAAAGAGGCAGGCGTTGATTGACTAATAACAAGTTTTAACAATGTTATTAATTTGTGGTTTCACAATTTTACTCACCCTCCTATGGTTTCTTTGCAGGCATTTCTGAGCTTTGATTTTGGTACACTTCGCTCCGCGACATAGAACTGTCCATGTGATCTTGTTGTGCATAGTTGTGGGTGAAGAACAGATTGCGTTATGTAATGATACATGAATAGCCAGTCGGACTAATTGAAGATAGTTCCCAAAGGAAATCTTTGGGTACACTTTTATTTGTATCTAGTGAAGGACCGGGGATTTCTAAGACACCTCGGCCCATCATTCCTTTTCAGTATTTGAGCATGAAGTCTTATGAGGATGATTTTTAAAAAATTCATAGAAACTCCAAGAAAGAGCCCTGCCGCTTCTACAAACCTTCTTCCGTAAAAAAACATAACCATTCTTGACATATTTGGAATCATGTTGAAAAGAGAAAATTTGCTCAAAGAGCTTTGGGGTGAAGCTGTCATGTATGAAGTCTATCTACAAAATAGTTGTCCTACATATGAACTTGAAGGCGTATCTCCACAAAAAGCATGGAGCGGGAGAACATCTAGTGTTTCCCATTTGAGAATTGGGAAAATGACATAAACAGTTCCTGAACTTTGGTCAAATGTGCAATTTGGTCCATGAACTTTTAATTTGTTCAATGTAGTCCCTAAACTTTAGGGTAATGTTCACTGTGGTCCCTGAACTTTTAATTTATTCAATGTCATCCTTGAACTTTTGGTACATGTTCAATTCAGTCCTTGAATTATATGAAAATGTTTAATGCAGTCCTTTCCATTAATTCAAGTTCACGGACCACATTGAACATTTTCATATAGTTCATCGACTAAATTGAACATGTAGCAATAGTTTAGGGATGACATTAAATAAATTAAAAGTTCAGGGACCATATTAAATATTAGTGTAAAGTTCAGGGACAACATTAAACAAATTAAAAGTTCAGGGACCAAATTGCAAAATGGGCCAAAGTTCAGGGACTGTTTGTGTTATTATCCCTTTGAGAATTTTCGGAATCATTGCCTATGCTCATGTTCCAAACTAGAAAAGATCAAAGTTGGAAGATCAAAGCAAAAAGCTCATTTTTATTAGGTATGATTCCTCATCCAAAGCCTATAAATTCTTTGATCCTAATACTTTGAAACTGTTTATAAGTAGAGATGTCGAGTTCGATGAAGCTAATGTTCATGGTGATTCTATACAAATGGAGTTGAAGGATCACTCTCCACCATCTTCTCCAATATCTTTTTCAAGTGCATCATCACCAACTTCTTCAATTGGTGTTGATGAACCATTAGTACCAAGATCGAGGAGATTGTCTAGCTTTATGAAGCCACCGATGAGCTTCACCTTGTATGCCTTCTCGCAGATTGTGATCCACTTGTCTACGATGATATTTTCAAAGAAGAAAAATGGAGGAAAGCTATGAATGAAGAAATTAAAGCTATTGAGAAGAATCAAACATGGGATGTTGTTGATCTTCCGAAAGACAAGAAAGCGATTGGTGTACAAGGCCAAAAAGAACGAGAAGGGGAAGGCTAGATTAGTCGCAAAGGGGTACAAGCAAAAAGGCCGAGATCGACTATGATGAAGTTTTTGCCCCTGTCATCCACATAGAAATGATTAGATTACAGCTCAAAATGCTTGGCAAATGTATCAAATGGATATCAAATCAACATTTTTAAATCACATCCTTGATGAGGGGATTTATGTTGAGCATCCTATGGGGTTTATCGTGAAAGGTAATGAAGACAAAGTTTTGATGTTGAAGAAAGCTCTATATGAGATTAAACAACCACTGAGAGCATGAAATTCTATAATTGATGCTTATTTCAAAGCACATGGCTTCTCTCAATGTCCATATGAGCATGCACTTTATTTGAAGCAAGAAAAATGTGATGTTTTATTGGCTTGTTTATATGTATATGACATTGTTTTTATAAGAAATAAACTAGCAATGATAGATGCTTTTAAGGCATCCATGGTGAAGGAATTTGAAATGAGTGATTATGATCTCATGAATTATTTCCTTGGCATAGAAGTGAAGCAAAGCGTAGATGGGATTTTTATTTCCCAAATAAGTCATGCAGAAAGCATACTTGAAAAATTCAATATGAAGAACTGTACATCGATCAATACACCAATGGAGTGCGGAGCCAAGCTTTTGAAGTTTGATGATGGTGTCGATGTTGATTCAATGTACTATGGAATCTTGGTTGGAAGCTTGAGATATTTGACATGTACTAGACTAGATATCATGTACAATGTTGGAATTGTGAGTTGATATATAGAGAAACTGAAGTCATTTCATCTTAAAGCTTCAAAGAGGATACTTCACTACGTTAAAGGTACTGCTGTTCATGGCTTACGCTACTATCAATCTCAATTCTTTCAACTTAGGGCCTATTCATATAGTGATTATGATGGAGATAATGATAATAAAAAAAGCACTATGAGTTTTGTATTTGTCTTGTGTAACATTGCTTTCATGGGGTTATCAAAAAAGCAACCTAGCGTTACTCTTTCGACATGTGAAGCTAAATAAGTAGCAGCATCTTCATGTGTTTGTTATGCAATATGATTGATAAGACCACTCAAAGAAATTCATATGAAGTAGAAGAGAGCAACGGAGAATTTAGTCAATAATATTTCTGTTATTGCTTTAGCGAAATATCCAGTTTTTTATGAAGAAGCAAACATATCGATGTTCTATATCACTTCCTTTGAGAACAAGTGAGAGAAGAAAATTAAAGTGTGACATGAGAAGATGGGAGATCAAGTAGCATTTATTTTTACTAAACCTCTCAAAATCGATGGCTTTCGGAAGTTCACGAGTTTGCTTGGAATGATTGATGGAAGAAAATTTGGTTTAAGGAGGAGTGTTAGTAATTACACCAAATCCATTTCAGCTATAATTTAATAAATTGCAGTTGCCGATTATGGACAAGTTGTCGATTTCATGGTTCTTGTTGCAATCTAAAGCCTCCGGGTGGTTGCACCTAGGGGTTCAGCTAATGAATTATTAAGTCTATACCTAACCCGGGTTCTTCCAAGCCCATATCAATTCACAACTTATGATTTTAGTTCTTAACATGCAAATGATTTTCAATTAGGAGTTGTCACTAATCAATTTATGGTAGGTTGATTAGAAATCCAAATAAAGTATAGAGAGATATACTTTCTTCTTATGAACCAGAGAGAATATGAGTACAGGGACTTGATTACGTTATATTATTCTAACGCTATTTCGATACCTATTTTTTCATGAAATTTTTTGAGCAGGCAGCTTGGATTAATTTTATTACTTCCTAACATATGAGGTGATCATACGGGTGCATTCACCAATAATCATTGTATTAAAGAAATTGCAAGATAAAGAGAGTTACTTACCTCGAAGCAACGTAAGCATATGCAATGTTAGTTAGAAAATCACATTATCAACCCTAATATGATTTTTAATTAACAAGCAATTCCACTCAATGTATTTTTTGGTTTCTGCTTGAATAAATGAAAACTAACCTATATGCAATGACGTGCAAAGTATGAGATGTGTTAGTTTTCATGTAAACAAGAGAGCAGCAACTGTAGGTGTCACTGGACATCGCGGGCCAATAGCAACGACATGGCGTCGCGGTCGCGGGGTAGTAGAGGGCAACGCGAGAGTAACAATGACGTCGGGGTTGGCTCGGCAGTAGCAGCTGGGTCGACACCAATAGATCGTCAAGGAGGAGCAGCGGGCGTTGACGTCGAGGGAAGAGCAGCAGCATTGGCGGTTGCTTGAAGGAGCATCAATTGGATCAGCGGTTCAGGGAGCCGCGGCGGTGCAGTCGCTCTTCGGACAACGTGGCCACAGGCCATGAGGACCTCGGCCAAGGTTTGGTTGAGAGTTTCTTTTTCTCTCTTTCTCATGTGTGTCACTCGTGCATATTTTGAATTGTGATTGCCAACCTCTCAACCAAAAGGTATAAGTGTGTATTTATAATGTAAACCTAGGTTAATTAGCCGAGTTTTGTAAGATGATGGGTCTTAACCTAGGCTTTTTCTATTTAATTTTTCATTGGGCCGAACTATCTTGGGTTTTTCCTAATTGAAGTTCAATAGGCTGATTTAAGCTCAAATTAGGCCCCTTTACCCTGTGATTTTCAGCCACTTTTCCTCCCCTTGCTAAGTTGAGTTTTGGCCTCTTGCTGTGGGCTCAATTTGTTGAATGTTAAGCTCAAAATCATCCACCGCCAATT